CATGTAAAAGGTAGGTTTTGGGGGGGGGTACCATATATATATATATATATGGGTAATATTGGGTTATAGTAGGCTAAAGAAACTGACCGCTATTTTTTTTTCAGGGGGTCTCCTACTGTATTTTTCTCGGTGGAATCTGTTCTAATATTCTCTGGAGAAATCGCAATTCTTACCAATGATGCGCTCTGAGAACCCTTATGACCCATGCCCTTGTTTCAGGCTATGCTTCAAACCTGATATTCTCTTGGTTAACGTCACTGCACATATCTGGTGATCAGTCAACTAATCTACAAGCCCTTTTGACAAGGGGCTAAACTTATTTGTTCGTAGTAGGGAATAAAGGAACATAATCCCCATATGTTCCCTGTATAATCACTTTTTCCTCACTAAGAACCTGTAAGCTGCATGATGTAGCGTGCACATGCACACATATGCCCACTTCATTACGTACCCCACCAGAACAAGACCGAACTCGGCACCCCAACCCGAACCCTGAACCGATCTCCGAACCCAAACTCAAAACCAAACTTGGGACCCCCACCGCAACCCTGAACCGAACCCCGAACCTGAACTCCAGACTGAACTCAGGACCACTGGCCGCCAGCCTTCAAGACGAATCCCGAAGCCGAACTCAAGACCGAACCCGGCGAACCCGCCCGAACCCGGAACCGAACCGCTAACGCCCGAGCTCGAGACGGAATTCGGCACCCCGACCCGAACCCTCAACCGCACCCCGAACCCGAACTCAAGACCGAACTTGGGACCTCCACCCGAGCCCTGAACCGAACCCCGAACCTGAACTCCAGACTGCACTCTGGACCATCATTGGCCGTCTGCCCTCAAACCGAGCTTCGAACCTGTCTCGAAACCAAATCCGGCGCCCCCGCCCAAGCCCTGAACGGAACCCAAAGCTGAGCTCCAGACCGACCTGAGGACCCACCGAACCCCGAACCTGAACTCCAGACTGAACTCGGGACCACTGGCCGCCCGCCCCTGATCAATACCCTACAAGAACCCTGAATCGAACCCTGAACCCGAACACCGAACCCTGAGCCGAACCCCGAACCCGGGACCCCCACCCCAACCCTGGACCGAACGAACTGCGAACCTGAACTCCAGATTGAACTCGGGACCATGCCTTGCAGTGCCCATTGTCAATATTTTCAGTAATTCTTCGTAGCCAAAACTTCAGGCAGCCGCTTACTTCAACTTGAAGAGATTCGCCGAACCTGGCCTCGCAGCAAATGGGCTTCAGCCGAACCAGCCCTTTTGGAATCAACAGCCCTTCCCTCTTGTTTTTCTGTCCTTGAACCCTTTCCCTTGTCCAAACTCGACCCCTTCTCTCGCAACCGCTTATCCTCTCAGATTTAAATTCAAGCCCAAAAGCTGCACCCCCGAACCCAAATCCCCTTCGACCCGAACGCTCTGGGACCCGAACCCGGAGCTGAACCTGAGCCCGAACCCGAACCCGCTCCGAACCGCAACCTGTCCCCTTTTTTGCCTTGGACCCTTCCCTGAACTGCTTGCAACTGAACCCGAGCACCCCCCGCCTTGCAACTGAACCCGAACCTGAACCTGAACCTCCTCCTAGCCCGACACCTTTGATCAAGGGCTACCTGATCATATAGGGGGTCCTAGTATCATTCAGGGTATATGGGTCTAAAATCTAAAGCCTAAGCGTAAACCCTAAATCCAAGCAGAGCCAGTGCTTAGGAATATTGAGTTGCATCTGCTTCCTGCGCGTACGCCACTAGGGTTTTGGAGGTTGGGAGTTGCCAAAAAATGGGAGCTTTTTTGGGGGGAGCCTTGTACCCTCATTCTGTTTTCCCGTTCCCCGCCCCCCCACAAGCTTATGGAAGTGTCGTCTGCGATTAAACGCTTGGTGTGCTTTGGATGGTTACTTTTATATCAAAGATTGTGCTATTTGCGAGGACTAGGCCGTCACGAGCCATTGAGAGGGCGTACGATGTAAGAGAAGGGCTGCTTTGGCAGGCACCCCATGCAACATCTGGAGACAGGGACACATGTTTTCGTTTATGGGGCCGTGACGCAATAGCAGGGCATGGTTTTCCTGATTGTTGATTCATCATCAAGACGAATCAAATTTCCGATGGCAATGTATGCAAGCCACTTGGCCTTCATACTGCTGATGCCTTGTATTCTAAGTTTTGCAACTCAGACATGGGAATGCCGCACATATAGAAAGACACTCCACAGGCCAGCGCATCACCTGGAAGGACAAGGGCTCGGGTGGCAGGGCTCACAGGGCTGGGGGTTGAAGGTTGCAGGGCCCCAGGAAGAGCGGCTGTCTGCATTCTGGTGTACGTTGGTCTGTTTGGATTGTGGGCCAAAAGCAAGTGTTGTCTTTCTCAGGGAGATTACAAGTTGTGGGTCTCGTGGTCAAGGGTGGAAATAGGCCGTATGGACGCTTTGGTTTGCTTGTAGCTGGGGCCACACTGTATCTCTCCTTCGCCCACAATTTTGGTTTTTATCATGCAAACCCGCAAAAGGTGATCACAAGTGCTTTGTGATCCGCGACTTCTGCATGCATCATAGCCTTTGGGAAGATCTATGCAGGCAACAAACTGGACCTTGGGGACCTGCACTGGTCGGGTCGTGCTCTCATACATCCTGAGCATGTCCTTCAGGGGCCCTTTTTTATTGTAGCATACACTCGAAACGACCCTGATCACAACATAGATGTGTCATTGTGTCTCTTGCGCAGTTGGGCAAGGTAACGTAGTGGTTGAAATGACTACGGCATATAACCATCAACTACTGCATCCAAATGGCATGCATTACTGCGAGGGGCATGATGATCGTAGTGAGCCAAGTCTCTGCATGGACCCTGTGACCACTTCGCCTGCCGTGCTCAAAGCCACAGCTAGCTTCTGCGATTTAATGCCGCCCAGCTTCAGTGCATCTGAATGGTGAGGGTTTAGAGGCATCGAGCTTCTGCAAGCTGGGTTTCTAGAAGGCTTCTACTGCACACCATGGTGTGGGCAGCATCAGTCAACACATATTGCCTTTTTCGTAGAATCATCTCACCGACAGTCGCCTTTCTGTTTAGTCAGCTTCATGGGACTTCAAAAGCTCAAGTCAAATGTTAGCTTTCCGGTGGGAATCGGGGACAGAGTTAGCAAAGCAACCCAAATCTGCGATCGTGTTCCAGCAGCATGAGCCAGCCATCGCTCGCATCCTCTCCGGCGCTCACAGAGGTGGGAGGTAATCCGTGTCAAAGACTTTTCTAGTAGAGTGCCGGGAAGCCATGCAAGTAGTAAAAAGGGGGCACGATCGGAATTCTGAGAGAAGGCATCGTACTTCTACTCTAACCAGCCGCCATTTCAAAGCTAGGTTTGCCTGTACACCTGTAGGGGCAAATTGGTGTGGTCTGCACCAAATATCCAAGCCTTGAGGTTCAAACTTGACAAATGACTACTGCACATCCGCTGAAGAAGCTGCAGTCACGTTGTCCGGACAACATGGGCTAGTGAAAGCCGCAAGCAAGCAAACGTGCTTGACCCTCTGAATCGTAAATCCTAGGCGGCTCTCATAGGTAGGACCAAGTTTGCAGACGCAGTCAGCAGATGTTTTGCTGCTAAATCCCGGCTCAAGCGAGCTCAGGCCCCTGCCCAGGTTTCCATCAGCACTTGATGGCGTCCCGTGCCTTTTTTCTGGCATTTTGCGCCTTGCAGAGACACTTTAGAGTATCAGCCGACCTCAGTAATGACACCAGCATTGTGATAAATGGCACGGAGAACAACGAGACCGGGGGCCTAGGCACGCCAATCCGCCTCGATGAAAGCTACCTGAATCCCGGTGGGAGCGTGCGCTGCCCCTCCCGGTGCAGGCGATACTTCGCTGGTGCGGGGCCCGGAGATGGCACCATCTGCCAGAAACAGGCATCTGGGGTTGGCACTGCCCAGCAGAACTTTGAGCTGGGCGTGGCATGCTATCCAGCATATGGGTGTGGGAAGGACATGATTACTTGTGTGGATCAGGCATTCGAAGGCCCTATGCCGGATACGTCTGATGCAGCCGCTGCATGTGCAGATCTTGAGTTAGTCGATGCCGAAGACCCCTGGACATGCGGTACAGCAGAGGAAGGCCGAGCCCCGTGTGTGAACAACACCCCAAACAACAATGCAGGAAAGTGGCTGAAGGCAACTGGACATCTTGCATGTGGATGGGGCTCCACCTACGGGCGCGTTTACCCTGGCTACAATGGAAATCCCACACCAGCGACAGAATATTTCCAGGTCTCCAGTGACTTCGAGTGTTGTGTGAAAGCCATGTCCTTTGAAAACAGCTCCTGGGAAGAGGGTGTTGCAGCCCTTTTCTTCCAGCGAATCGACTCGAGCTGTCGGATTGACCGCGAGAAGATTATCTATGGCAACATGGATGGATCTGCGGGGCGATCAGTAAAGTACCAGGACACGCGCTGTGGTTGGGGGCAGGAATTCTTGAACCGCCATGCCTCTGGAGCAGCAGGTGCTGCAAACCTACACACTGGTGGTCGCTGTGTGGTGGATGGAGGCTTCAGCCGCCTGAGTGAGTTGTCCTCGGGCACGAACCTTCCAGGTGGGGAGATCCATGATGGACATGAGCTACCCAATCATCGATGCCCTGAGCCGAATGGGTATCCGTTTTCACGTAACTGCAATGTCACGGTGAAGTTCAACACGATTGCCGATGCAGAAGAGTGCTGTGAAATGTGCTGTTCAATGAGCTGGCTTCCGCACGTGGGCGGGGTCGTGGAGACCGATGAGAAGAATACTTTCACGAACCCCTGTGTAGCTTGGCAGATTGTGCATGGTCGGTGTCGCATTTTGCGTCAGGAATATTTTGATTACTGGAATCCAGGCATGACAGTCCATGCCTCCTTGACCCGAGATAGCTACCAGCCGCCCGGCAACACTGGGTGGGTGGTCCCAAAGCGTGGGTGTGGTACCTCAGAAGAGTTTTGCAATTACTTCTCCTTCATCTACTACCGTCAGTTCCAGGAGAGCGAAGGGGTTCCTGTGGACATCTCCGTCTTTCAAGCCGACGGCACAAACCTCAGCAAGGATGCTCTCTACCGCAAAGTTGTCTCGCTAAGCATTCCTGCCAATGTAGAGAACATGTCATTTGAGCTGAATGTAAGCTCAGTGCCTTCAAGGCATGATCGCAGGCCTCAGCTGATTCAGGGCAACCAGAACAGGAGCTTCACAAATATCACTGCAGCAAGCTTTGATGATGTGGTTGATGGATTCAACTCCAATCTCACTCCAGTGACCCAGGAGACTGCAGGCACTGGAGACAACTGTGGCCGAATTGAGGTTCATGCAAGCTATGCGCAAGAGTGGTGGGTATGAGATTTTTGATGAAGACTCATCTCCAGAGCCTATTTGTTTATCCGAGTGTGTTCCATCCGGTGGGACGGCATACTTCCTGTGTAGTCTTCAAAACTCTACGAATTCTACGCAAGGCTCTGGCACATCTGGCACGGATCGTCGGCTGGCAGAAGCGCTTGACAACGTGGTGATCTCCTTTACATCCATCGGCACAGGCTATGATACTGTAGACTTCGGCGTTGTTGCAGCCTTGAATCAAGCCCCAACTACCACGGCAACAACGACTACCCGCACCAGCAGCACGGCCACCACAGTGACGCACACATCAAGCACACTGACACAGACAGCGACCACAGTAACACGGACGACGCGCACGTATACTGACATCACCATGACCAGTAGCACCATAACTTCCACTGAAGAGATCCAAAATTTGACGTTTACAAATGATACGTCCGCCACCGCACGCGGTGATGGCTCGGTGTCGTCAGGTCAGTCTGCCATACTAAGCTTAAGCTTGCACTTGCCGTTGCTCATTCTGATTATGCTCAGCTTATACATCCCACACAGCTAGTGCATCGTTGGCCGAAGGCCAGCGCAGATGCAGCACGTGCTGTTGTCAATGCCAGGAGATCTGAGCGAATTCAGTTGGCTGTTTTGGCTTAAGGCCTCGCAGGCATGGCAGAGCGCAAGTTAATGAGTTTATTGCTGGGTGTGTTCCAACAAAGTGGTGTTTTGGCGGGAAGACCCAGTTGATGGGGTAGCTTGCTTTTGGGCAGGAAGCTTGAGCTTTTGACAAGACGGACTTCAACACCGCTGTAGGTACCAACCACATCTGCACACCTGCCAGCCTTCAAGTAAGGATATTCCTCAACAGCCCGATGCAGCCTACACCCCGTATGTAATCTCTACAGGCCTCCCGACCGACAAAGAGTGTCTCTTAGTCATGATTTCCGAAATCCTGAAGGCAGCGCGCTCGAGCTCGTCTTCCCAAAGAAACAACTCCCATTGGGGTAATACTGGGGTTATATTAGGGTTATATTGGGGTAATATTGGGGTTATATTAGGGTTATATTGGGGTATAGTCCCCATAACTGTCTACAACCCCTGAAACTTAAGCATCCCAAGCCTAAGGGCTTTCAGGCCTAAACTTTGATATGCTAGGGTTTAGGGTTTAGGGTTTAGGGTTATGTAATACCTCAAACCTAGAACCTTGTTCTAAACAACCCAAAGACACCCTGAACCTTATTGGGGGTCCTAGCAATAAGGCTTATAGTACATGGAGGTTTACATTTTGCCCGCTGTATACTCAGAACCCTAAACCCTAAACCTCACACCCTACACCCTAAACCTTAAACCCTATAAACCTTAAATCCAAAACCCTAGACTTTAAATACTCAATCCTAAACGTGAAGTGGTAGTTTCCCTTAAAAAGAAGGAACCCCAATATAGACCCCACTATACGCCATAATCTTTAGGAAGCTCCCAAATGTCCTAAAATCCTAAAACCAAAAATCCAGAACCCTACTCAAAAACATCCTCAACCCTAAATCCAACACCCCAAATCTTAAGCCCAAAACCCTGAATCTCAAATCCAACACCCTAAAACCCTAAATCCTAAACCCTGAATCCTACAACCTAAATCCAACACCCTAACGCCCTAAAATCCTATACCCGCAACTTACCCTAAACCCTAAATCCTAACACCGAATATTCAATCCTGGACCTGAAATCCAAAATCAAAGGCTAAATTGTAGCTTCCATTTTCCTTTCCATTATCCCTATAGAACCCTTGTATAACCCTAAACACAACCCTAGACCCTAGACCCTGAACCTTAAACCCTCAGCCCTAAAACCCCTAAACCCTTAAACCCCTAAACCCTAAACCCCTAAACCCCTAAAGCTCAATCAAAGCAAGCCTGGGAGGCTGGTCCCGACAGATGGCGGTCCGAGGTTGCTGCGCTCCGCCTGACATCCTGGCGCTGTTGTTATCTGAGTTATAGTCTAAAGTCTTTAAAGGGGTTATGTAGGGATTATATAGGGTTTAGGGTTATAGGGTTTAGGGTTTAGGATTGAGTGTCTAGACTCCTTGAAGAGGGGGTTATGTAGGAAATATATAGGGGGCTAGTATAGGGGTTAGTAAGGTTTGGGCTCTAGCTCATCTGAACACCAAAGAAACCTGAACAAACTAGGAGCTATAGCGGTTAGGGGTTAAGGGTGTAGGGTTTAGGAAGCAAGGAACAAACTACAATTCATACTGTTTAGAAACATTGAACAAACCAGGATTTATAGGATTTGCAAACATATTTGATTCACCATCACTAGTGGAATACCTTTACTCCACAATCTATCTATGTGGAATGCCAGGCATGAAGCCAAGCGAACTGCGCTGGAGCGCTTGCAGGCAAGTCAAGGCGCCTTCGAAAACCGCATCTGGGTAGAATACTTGGATCCGACCAAGCGTGTAGGGCAATGGCCTTTTGAGCATTTTTTAGGGCGTTGGGGCCATCAATCTTACCTACCTCCATGGTCCAGTAGGAGCTTTTACGGATTCTAGATTTTAGTTTTTAGGTGGTGTACAGGAATTATAATGGGGATTGCACAGTGATGATATTCCGGGTTCAGGGGTTGCAGGCTCAGTGGTTCAAACGTCCAGGGGACGGACCTTTGCTTACGGGGGGTTATGTAGTAGGGAATCAAGGAATGTAGAGGGATTATATAGGGATTATTTCCCCTTATTCCCGACTAGCCCCCCAGTAAGTTTGGCCTGAGACTTGGAGGTTTGGCTTGAAAGGCAAAAGGTTGTCAAGGTGGATGTTCAGAGGCTGGCTAATCAAACCTGTCCAGGTTCAGCTGAGTAGTTCAAAGCTGAGAGTAGTTGGGGGGGTTCGAGCTCAGCTGCTTTCTTCCCGTGTTTTTGTCTTGGGAAACACCGATTTCGGGTGCGGTACAAGAGCCTTCTGTGTGGGATATCCCCGGGCTGCGCACTGCAGACAGTTGCAGTGGGTCAATGCACATAACTTCTGCAGGTTCGGATAGGATTTCCATTGCCCATAGGCCGAGTGACATGGACCTTTGGCATGATGGCTTCAACTTACTGGGCCTACATCATCCCTATGGTTATCATCCCTAGATCATCTCTGTAGAGTTATACTTTCCGTTGTTTCCTACTAATCACCAGTAAGTCAAGTTTTATAAAGGGTCTGCACGCCTGCCGTGCGGAGGCGGTGTGCTCATAGCCGAGTCCGGACCGCAGCAAGCAGCTTCTTCACAGCAGGATGCTGCACATGCTCATATAAGGAGCGTTTTATTTTGGGATACTATGGTAAACAAGCCGAGCCGTGCGAGCTGATTATTCAGCAGCCGCAGTCCATTTTCGCCTGCCTTTAATGTATTCTACACTACTCCCTATTGGAGGGGCCAAAGCTGCCCAACGCTTGATTCAATGACTGACTGATGTCCGAGAATACTATGGAGAATACTATGGCACCCAGTATTGAGTCAGATTCTATCCTTGTTTTGGGTATAATATTTTGAATGCAGAGTAATTTTTTAGTTCAAGCACCAGAACGCAGCGGCAGGAGGCAAGTCTAAGGTTCGACACATAGCCATCTGCAGACAGAAATATGATGAAAGGCATTCGTATTGCATGATTATTCGACGGTCTTTGGAAGACCTCTGGCATACCTTGCTCACAATGCAGTATTGGATTAGGAGCGTACCTTGCAAGCTTTGGCCGTCGTTTCTTCTGGTATTTGCACCCGTGCAGACGTGTGCCTGTGAGGGTACGGAGGGATGCAGAGCATGCTGGAGTGACCGGTCATGCAAAAACAGATGCACTTAGAACATGTTTAAGGGGTCACTTGTCAATTCTTGTTCCTGACTCACGATGCTTCAAGTATTTCTGAGCACTGCTACTGAATCACCTTTGTTTTGTGGCTCTTGTTACTCTTAACCTCTGACTCTCTCTGTGCTCACATGAGGCACCGTGCACGCTGCCGGCAACCAAGGTGCAGCCGGCAAAGTCCTCCGATTAATGTAGCTGCTTCGAGACTTCAGCATTTGAGCGCCGACAATCGGAAACATGGATCATACTACGAGTTGTAGCTGAAGGACACCGCTTGGCAGCGCAACAAAACCCAAAATAAGTGCCCCAAGGGCTTTACATCACGCATTCCTATTCGAGTGTAATGCAGAACTTCTTCACCAGTGGCCCGAAGCCCTGCCAGCCCACATCCCATCAGATGCCGGCTTGGTCGCAGCTGCGCCAGGTTCAGTCCGTTGCTTCCAGGGCGATATCAGCGCCCAGCGTGTACAGACCTCAGATCCTGGACTCATCCTCAGGAACCTGCATGGGTTCATCAAAATTGGATTTTGGGAAGCCTCTACCCTGTGTTCTTTGATTTCAGTTGTTGTTGCCGTTGTTAAAGGAGTGGAATTACCATGGTTGTTGGATCGAAATATGAGAGTGGTGCTTCCTACAGCGCAAGATGTTCCACGTACTCACTCGGAAAGGTGCCGGATTTTCACTACAACGATTTGTCGGATCCCTTCAGTCCCAGCAGCTCTGCACAACTTTTGATTTGGTTGAGGCCGCATCTCCCCCATCTCCTTTTGGTGATACCTCACAAAACGTAGTGTAGAGTTGGATCAACCGGGTGGAACGCGACACGGGTCTGTCTTGCAATGAGCGGCACATGCTCGATTTGGAGTGTATGCGTCAGGATTCAGCTGTCGGGATCGAGTAGAAGTAGGGGATGAGATCAATCAGATCAGCTCTGTGATTGAAGGTTGAGGGGCTTTTTGTGCAAGATTCACTTGGATGGCAATCCCCGCCCTGTCGGATACGGTACTTAGCTTTGTCAGGCTGCCATTCAATGCAGTCTCGAGGTCCTTTTCGTCAGAAGCGTTCACCAGGGCTTGTTTGATAGTGACCAGGAGGGGCCGTATCACAACATGCTGTATCAGTTTTCTTTATAAAGCCGAATACACGTACTTGGAACCGTGTACGGTAGGGTATCTGAGGGCGGCGGGCGCCTGCATGAGGCTGCTGCTACTGCTACTGCTACTGCTACTGCTACTGCTACTGCTACTACTACTACCACCACCATCACCACCACCACCACCACCACCACCACCACCACCACCACCACCACCACC